GGGGATATAATATTGGGGTGACTTTTTTGTGAGGAAGAAAACTCAGACGGATTATTTTAAGTTTTAGTTTGTACAATGTTCTAGCACTTCCTGCACCATAAATATTAGTGCCTGCAAATTTGTCTAGTGAAGAACAATGGCATATAAATGCAAACAGTATTTGCATAAAGCTACCATTACCATTTCCCCCCCCGATATATATTTTTAGTTGTTCAGGCAGTGGCAATAACAGAAGGGTTTGGGACTGAAAGCCATGACTAGAAAAGATCCATCTATCAGAAGGAAACATAAATCTCCCCAAATATCAGTCTATCTTCCTCTCTCTCATAGTATTTACTTCATTTTATCAGAGTTCAGAGACTAGAGACACATCTTTGTAATATTTGGATAGTGGTCTTAGACATATCCAGGAAGTCACCAGAAGACAAGCTCAATTAGAAGGAGAGGTTATGTTTTTACCTTCCCAAAATGAATGGGTGATTGATTATAAAACCCTTTTTAAGACTGAATGTGGCATTAGCAAATCTAGGAATTGTGCAGGCATTCAGAGCATACTTTCCTTCCAAAGTAACTTTTGGGTTGGATCCACAAGTAGAAAGAACTTCAAGAGACTCCTAGGAAGTATTTGCTCCAGAGTTTTCCACACAAGCTGGTCTTCCTTTAAAATGGTAAATGTGTGTATATAATATCTAAGGCTCTGCTTCTTAGCCTTGGTCCCTGAAGATGTGTGGACTTTAATTCCCAGAATTTTGGAATTTGAAGTCCACACATCCTCAAGTCTCAAAGGGTTGGGAAACGTTGATCTAAGGTCTCTGTATACATTGTACATAGAAAAGAGCTGTCAATATAAAGGTTCTGATGTCTTTTGACTTCAGTGACAAAAAGGTCTATATACAAATAAAAAAAAAGTGAACCAGTAGCTTCTTGCAGCATTATTGCCAGTTTTATGGTGGGTATATATTTTTTTTTATTTACAATTTTTATATATAGAATATATATATATTGAGTATCACTCAGGGCAGATAAGTTGTTTGTGCAGAAAGTTCCATATTTAATCCTTGGTAACTTCAGTTATCTCTGCCTGTGAGTGTGGGTAGTCAAAACATATTCCCCATATTGGATCACCAGTACTCTTTGAATGAGGTATAGAAAGTGATTTTAAGGAAAGTGATGTTAGAATCATCAGGATTAAATAGACAGGGCCTGGCATACTGTACCAGGTAATTTTTGTCTTAAGAAACTCCAATTTCTCACCCCACCTGAACTCTTGATGGATACAGGGAGCCCTTAACTTAAAATCATTTTTTTAGTGACCGAGGTTACAACAGCACTGAAAAAAGTGACTTTCGACCCCGTCCTCGCATGTGTCATTTGCAGCATCCCTATAGTCAGAAGATCAAAATTTGGCTGGTTAGCAAATGGCGTGAATTTACAATGATTGGAGTGTCCCAGGGTTATTTGATTGCGATAGATTATAAGATAGATAGATAATAGATAGACAATCAAGACAAATTCTTAATGTGGGGAAGCCAGATTTTCTTAACAACTATGGCAAAAAAGATTGTAAAATTAGATGCAACTCACTTAGTAGCCACCTTGCCTAGCAATGGGAATTTTGATTCCAATTGTGGGCATAAATTGAGGACTACCTGTGCACATTATCTTTCACACCTAATTGAAACTGGTTAAGAATTGCCAAACTCTTCTTCCTCTCTAAATATTGAGAGATTTAACAATATTTAAATATTGTTAAATAGAATCTGAATTAGCAAGGTCTAAATAGTTCCAGCCAGACCCCTGTAGATATATAACATGCACGGAAACACCTAACAAAGTGGAAGTCGTTTTCCTGTAGGCCAATTTTTTTAAAGTTGGAACCATTAAGATGTGTGGACTTCAGTTCCCAGCATTCCCCAGCCAGTATGCTAATCCCATACTATCTGATAGATAGAAAATTCCCCACCCGGTTCCTTCTGGTCACGTTTATTGATGTTATGTTGCAACTACATAATAGAGAAATGGACTACTGTGGAATTGTGCACTAAGAAAATGGCTGCTACTAAGAAGACCATGAAAGTTACATTTCCCAGATTACGTAGCCTGTTGCATTAAATTTAGCAAATGAGTCTATTTAAAATAAACTATAGCAAGGCAGCCATTTGAGAGATAATTTGTTCATTATACAGGAAATGATGCTGAATTAATCAGCAAACAAAGTAAGAGTTGGAAGGGATTGTAAAGGTCTTCTAGTCCTGCTCAAGCAGATCCTATACCATTCCAGGCAAATGGATATCCAATTTTGTATTGAAAACCTCCAGTGATGGAGTACCCACAACTTCTGTAGGTAAGCTAAGTTCTCCTTAGTTCCAGATTGGATCATCTTTGATAAGTTTCCACCTGTTACTTTTTGTCCTGCCCTACTTTCTTTTCTGTGACAGCCCCTCAAGAACTGAAAGAAAGCCGCCATGTCACCCCTAATCCTTCTCTTCATTAGACTAGAAATATCTATTTCCCTTAACCGTTCATTGTATGTTTTAGTCTCCAATTGCCTAATCACTTTTGTTGTTTTTGTAAAAAACTTGAAGCTAGTACATGCAAAAGGTGAAAATGCCTACTCTTGAGTTTAAAGTCTAAAATGTATTTTATTTAACAAATATAAACCTTCATTTTCATGAAATCTTTAAAAAATGTCACATGTAAAGAGATAGTGACTCAGATCACATAGCAATAGGGACATGAAATCTAGCCAAGAAAAAGATTTAATCTTCAGAAAACGGAAGGAATGCCTCATAAATGTATTAAGGAAGTAATACTCTACATTTTTACAAGGATAGTTCAAAATGATGTAATGGCAAAATTGACAAAACTTGTTAAAAGGGAAAAAATGGATTTCCTTCTGTGTCCATCTTCAGAAAATGTACTTTCAACTCAGGCACTTCTGTTCTTGACCTTTGGCCAGGGAAAATGCAACAAAAACAATAATAATTAAAAAAATAAGGATAACGTAGCAGGAATTAATTTTCTTTGCATTCTGACCAGAAGGGGAAAAAAAAATAAAAGAGGGTCCTTCGTTTGATTAATTAAATCACTTTTTCCTCTCCAAAGATCATCAATGAAATCAATGAATCCTGGCATCTCTTCCACCTCAGAGTCAACCGCTTTCCCCATCTGAACTGATCACTCCTCGAAGATGGGACCAGTCTGTGGCGCGACGGCGAACGGCCGGCTCCTCTGGCGAACTGGGCAACTCCTGGGGCTCATTGTAAAGGCTCCAGACGTTGCGACGCTTTGGACGGCCTGCGTGGAGAGAAGGGGGGAAAGTTTTCTAGATGCGCTAAAACGGTGCCTCTATTGCATAGAAACTGGTGGGCGCCTCCGGATTAGACTCACTTACTCTCCATCGCCCTCTGAAGGCCATGAAAGAGAGATTGAGGTTGTTCTAAGCAGTTTTCTTTATTGTTCCTCACCCCTAAAGAGGAATATTGCCAAACTAAAACAGGCTACTTGCACCACGAAGCACATGTAAGCACACAAGCGCAGGTAAGTCATCAATTTACATCAATTTACATCAATTTATTTAATGACCGTTCGAAATTACAACAGCACAGAAAAAAGGGACCAATCTTCACGCTTACAACTGCTGCAGCACGCCCATAGGTCACATGATCAAAATTTGGGCCCTTGGCAACTGGCATGTATTAATGACAGTTGCCCTGTTCCACGCCCATGGGATCACCCTTGATCACCTTCAGCTGGCTTCTGACAGACAAAGTCAATGGCAGAAGCCAGATTCACTTTATGACTCCATGATTCACATAACTACAAGAATTCACTTTACCACCAGGGAAAATTGGTCGTAAAATGAGGCCCAACTCAATAACACCTTGCTTAATAACGGAACTTTTGAGCTCTATTGTGGTTGTAAGTCAAGGACTGTCCGTACTCTGGGAATTATTAGGGAGCAGTTGTCTCCACCCTCTTTCTCCCACACACAGAGTATAAACTCCTCCGTCTTTTGTTCATCTTTTGCACTCCCTCCCTCCTGGGCATCTGGATTACATTCTCTCACCCTCTTCCAATGTGAAAGGCCTCAACTCAAAAGTTCGCTCTGCACCCAGGCAGAATCAGCCCTCCTCTCAAGGAGCCGAAAGGCTGTTTGCCTGGAATCTGAGGGATGGTAAGAAGGCCCCAGAATCACTGCAATTGCTAAGTTGGTACCATGGCTGTTAAGTGAATCTGGCTTCTTTGTTGATTTTCTTTGTCAAAAGGTTGCAAACAGTGATGACATGGCTTTGGGAAACAGCAACGGTCATAAGTATGAAACAGTTGCCAAGCCTCTGAATTTTGATCCCATGATCATGGGGATGCTGCAAAGATTGTAATTGTGAAAAACGATCAGAAGTCACATTTTTCAGTGCTACTGTAACTTTGAAGTCACTAAATGAACTGTTGTAAGTAGAGGGCTACCTGTAGACCCTACTTAACTTCTCATGCTCTTTTGATCTCCTCTCCAATTTCCTCTGAGAAGTAAATAAAAGAGATTTTTTCATTAAACAAAGCACAGTCTCAATAACATTAGCATAATTATGCAAATGGATAAGACGCTGAGCTTGTGAGATCAGAAAGGTTGGCAGTTCGGCGGTTTGAATTCCTAGCGCTGCATAACGGAGTGAACTCCTGTTACTTGTCCCATCTTCTGCCAATCTAGCAGTTCGAAAGCACGTAAAAAATGCAAGAAGAAAAATAGGGACAACCTTTGGTGGGAAGGTAACAGCGTTCCGTGTGCCTTCGGTGTTTAGTCATGCAAGCCACATGACCACGGAGATATCTTCGGACAGTGCTGACTCTTCAGCTTTGAAATGGAGATGAGCACCGCTCCCTAGAGTCAGGAACGACTAGCATATGAGGGGAACTTTTACCTTTAATTATGCAAAAATGGGATGATTTGCACCTTTGCAGGAAATTTGGGGGGGGGGGGGGGAGAGAACAAAAGACACACCCTGATCTCTGTATAAAACCAGAACCCAATCAATATATTTGCATGGTGAGTGGAACTGTATTATTTGCCATTTCTCCAGGCTGCCATCTTATGGTATTCCCAATATTCCCAAATATTCCCAAAGTGCTGGAGAAAGACTCCGGCATCCTAATGAAGCACCTGGACTTTTATATTAGCCAGCTCCTCCCCTCCACAGCCTCTTTACCTTCTGTAGCAATAATATTGTTGACATCAAGAGAAGCCAATTTGGCTACTTCTTCCCGCTTCTGCTTTAGTGCTTTGCACCTGGCCAGAGATGGAGTTCCTGAGGAAAGATTGGTTGGGGCGCTTTCACATGTCATTTGAAAAGTTCACATTTCAATCCAAACCCAGATTGCCTTAGCACAAATATAATTTCTTTGACAACAGCTCAGTTTATTTTATTAGCCACCCAGTAAGGTTTTCATTACTGCATTTATCACTTGGTGTGCCATAGCAACTCGGTGAACTGTAGCCTATTCCAGAAGCCAGGATTAAAAGAAACAATGGCTTAGCTATCTGCGATTCTAGTACCTTTTCTGATGCAGCTCCCTACAGAGGTTCACATACTGTAGCTCAGCCTAATAGTAATGGTTGAATCATGTTATTTATTTTATCCCACCTTTACTATTTTTATAAATAATTCAAGGCAGCAAACATACTTCATACTCCTTTATCCTACTGTATTTCCCCTCCACAACAAACCTGTGAGGTGAGTTGGCTGAGAGTCAGTGACTGGCTCAGTCACCCAGCTGGCTTTCATGCCTAAGGTGGGAGTAGAACCCATTGCCTCCTGGTGATTGACCCAAAGTCTCCTGGCTGGCTTTCATGCCTAAGGTGGGACTAGAACTTGTCTCCCACTTTCTAACCTGGTACCTGGCTACGCCTTACATCAACTACCATTAACTAACCTTTTATGCCAAGACTTTCCAGCTCTTCTTTGAGAACCTCTATCTGAGCTTTGCGGGAGTGGCAACCTGCCAGGAGCTTTTTGTAATTCCGATGCACACCACATTCCCGGATGTAGCGTTTCAGACGTTGGATGGAGGGATGCTCCTCTTTCTTTCCAGAACGATGCTTCTTATCCTACAGTTGAGATGGGTTAACAACCGAGCTCACAATAAACTTTCCATGAAGAATCCCGAACTATCAGAGAAAGGCAATATTTATTTTTTAAAGCAATTCTGCAATATTTCACAACCTTGGCAGCTTTAAGATGGATGGACTTCAACTCCCAGAAGCCCCCAGCCAGCCCTGCTAGCTGGGGAATTCTAGGTTCACCCATCTTAAAATTGCCAAGGTTGTAAAACATTGCTGCATAGGTAATCCTTGACTAACAATAATTTGTATTGTGGCTTAAGTTACAAAGGTCCTGAAAAAAGTGACATAACCATTTTTCACACTTACGACCATTGCACATCCCCATGGTCATGTGATCAAAATTCATGTGCTTTTGGCAACTGGCATCTATTATTTGACAGTTGCAGTGTCCTTGGGGATCATGAGATCAGCTTTTGCAATCTCCTGACAAGCAAAGTCATTGGGGAAGCCTGTAGATGTGCTGTGACTGCAATTTCCAGAATTCCCTACCAGAAAGGAGGCATTCAACAAACTTCCTTAGAATTCTGGAACTGGACATTTGATAGGTTTGAGGGGTGTGTGTGCCAAGTTTGGTATGGGAATTCTTTTTTTCCCTCCCAGACTAAGGACCAGTTTGCATAACTTGTTTAAGGGGATATCAGAACGAGTGTGGATGGCTTGGAGAGAAATGGCCTGGCTAACATGGCCTTTAGTGCAAACAGATTGCCCTGTTTACTTGTACCCTGAGTTGTGTTGCAGAGGAACAGAAAATGGGGATACTGGTGAGAAACTTCATCAAGTAACAACAGGCCTTCAAGTATTCAGCAGCCAGGCCAATTTGACTCAGTGGTGTGTGGACTGTGTTCTCTCAAATGCGTAGAATTGCTACACAACACAAACCTTGCGGTAAAGGTAGCTCTTCACTTATGAACACAACTGAGCTGAAAACTTCTGTTGCTAAGTGAGACATTTGTTAAGTGAGTTTTGTCCCATTTTATGATATTTCTTGCCACAGTTGTTAAGTGAATCACTGCAGTTGTTACGTTAGTAACACACTTGTTAAGTGAGTTTGTCTTCCCCACTGACTTTGTCAGGAGATTACAAAGGGTGATCAAATGACCCTGGGACACTGCAACCGTCATAAACATGAGAGTTGCCAAACCTCTGAATTTTTATCATATGACTACGGGGTTGCTTCAACGGTCATACGTGTGAAAAATGGTGGTAAGTCATTAACATTGAAAGGTCATTAAATGAACTGCTGTGAGACTTGCTTGTCGAAAATCCCCTCGGAACATTGCAAAGGGCAATCAGTTGGACCCCGGGACATTGCAACCATTGTAAACACATGCCGGTTGCCAAGTGCCCCAATTTTGTTCACACCACTGCGGGGATGCAGCAACGGTTGTAACTGCAAGGACCTGTTATGTCACCTTTTTTTTTAGCGCCTCTTTAATTTCAAATGGTCACTAAATGAATGGCTGTAAAGAAAACACATGTTTTTTTTTAAAGTCCCCATGCGGATGTCCCTTACCTTTCCAAGATGTTGCTGCCGAGAAGTAGTGGGCTCGTCCTCTTCTGAGCTGGAGTCCTTTTCCTGGCTGGACTCCTCCCCTTGTTTCTCCTTGGTAGCACTCCTCCTCTGGAGCTTTTTGGTCGTTCTCTGCTGCTGGCTTTGGATTTTTTTCTTTCCCTTAAGCTCACTTCCTGAATCTTCAGAGCCAAGAACGGAGATTTCTTTACTGATGCTCTTTCTCTGTGTCTTCTGAGCTCCTCTCTTCTTCAACGTCTCCTCCCCTTGACTTGAGTCAGACTCAGAGTCATGCTTGCTCTCCTTTTCCAGGGTCCTCCTCGGATCTCCATCCTCGCTCTTCTCTGACTCGCTTTCTGACGGGGAACTTAGAGCCGCCTTCTTCGGCTGGCCTCGATTCCTCTCGCCTTGAAGTCCTCTCTTCCTCAACTTCTCCTCCCCTTGACTTGAGTCAGACTCAGAGTCATGCTTGCTCTCCTTTTCCAGGGCCCTCCTCGGATCTCCATCAGATTCGCTCTCTGACGGGGAACTTATTAGAGCCTCCTCCCTAGGCTGGCCTTGATTTGTCTTGTCTTCACTGCTAGTGGGAATCTGAAGCAAATTCTCCTCTGCTCCCATGCTCTTACATTCCCCTGACTCACTTTCAGATTCTTCACTGGTGGACTCCTGAACCTTTTGCGTCATTTTCTTCACTTCCTCTGGTTTCTTCATGTGCAGATCTTCTCTCGGCAACTTCTTCTGCACCCCCCTTTCTTTAGGCTGCCTTTTGGGTTTGGAGTGATTTCCAGTCTGCGGGCTCCCTCTTTCTCCCCTGGCCCTCTTTGCTCCCTCTTTCTTCATTGGACTTTGACTTGCAGAATTCTCAGAACTGCTCCCTGAATCCTCTATAACTCTACTCTTCCTTCTGCATTGGCTGTCTGCCATCTTCTTCTGCAAATTACATTTTTTATCAGAACCACTTCCTGAGTCATCCTCACTCTTGTTTTCCTTCGAACCTTTCTGGGTTCCCGGACCCATCCTCTGCTGTGCTTTATTAGTACTGAGTGGCTTCTTCTCTTCACTCTCGCTCCATTCTCTTTTCTTTTCAGAAATTTCTTCTACCTCTGACAAATCAGTTTCTCCCTCTGATAGGCTCCTTTCCTCTCTTTGCTTACTCATTGTCCTGATTTTTGCTTTGCCTTTGGGATCATTAGCTTTAGACTCTTTGTCCACCTTTTTCTTGAAGTCTCTTTGCTTCAAGCTGTTCCTTTTTATGGCCTTCCTCTGTCCTTTGACCTCATCTTCAAGGTCACTCTGTCCTGTGTCGGTGGTGGTCTCCTCAGATTCACTCACCCCCCTTTTCTGGGAGCCCCTGATCGTGCCTGGCCCTCTCTCCCGTCTTGCCTCCTGAAGGGATGGTTTTCGTTTGCTCTTTGTAGTTTCCTCATCGCTTTCAGACTCATCACAGTTATTTCCAGCTCCGGAGTTTCCTTGATCAGAAGAATCTGAAATCATACTGCGACGTTTTTGACTCTTGTAGCATGGCCTCTTCTTAGAATCAATCCCAGAATCCTTTTCATCAGAACTGACTTCTGAAAGGCAAAAGAAAAAATTGACAAATAGAATCATGTTAGGGAAGGACAACTGTTATTCTAAAGTTGGAGGCCAAGTCCTGAATTTCAAAGCTTTGGATGCAGCACCTGGCAAGTCCCCAAAGCTGCCATTTTAATGTGACAGAAAGAGATATTGAGAATGAATTCTTTTCTCTCTCGATTGTCTTAATTTTGAGTGCTAGTTTTGTCTAGTGCAAGCAACTAAGGTCCCTTTATGACTTGTGGACTTCAAGAATTTAGGAATCCACAAGTCATAAAAGAGCCATAGATCGCTACCCCTGGCCTAGTGGTTAAGGCACTAGGCTAGAAAGTGGAGACCATGGTTCAAGTCCTGCCTTAGCCTTGAAAGCTGGTTGGGTGACTTTGGGCCAATCACAAGATGATCTCAGAGTTCTAGTCCTGCCTTAACCATGAAAGCCAGCTGCGTGACTCTGAGCTAGCTACTTTATCTCAGCCCAACTCCCTTCACAGGGTTGTTATTGTGGGGAATATAAGAGGAGAAAGGGATTATCTATGTTTACTGTCCTGAGTTATTTGTAAAAATAATGACGACAGGATACCAATAAATAATATAACAAAAATAAATCCCCTCCCCACTTTTTATCCTACATTTGCCCACTTCTGATATTCAATCCTTAGAATTCCAGCTAAGGCTGAAGAATCCTTATGAATCTGTCGGGTTACTTGTGGCGAATAAGTTGTTTGTTGATGGGAATATATCTTCAATTTTGGAAGTTCAACTCCAAGTTAAATATGTGGCCTGGACAACACTCTTTCTTATCATTATGATTGGTCACATTTACCTACCTATAACCACTGGTTATCTAGTTTTCATTAGGCTCCCTATTTTTCTTTTTGGTCCCCCCCCCCCCCAATCATTTCTGTTTCACTCTTAAAATTGAAAAACACATAAAAAAACTTTTAAGAACACAGGAAATGGAAAAGCAGGACGTTAAAAGTAAAGAGTTCAATGGAATCAATACAAGAATAACAACATCTATAACAGAAAAGCAGAGGCAATAATTTATGAGAAAAGTGGAAGAAAGCAATGGCTCTGATCTGGCTCTAGCAACCACTTCATCATCCAATCACCAACCCTTTCCAATCAAGTGCTTTGGGATATATTGAAGTGAACTCCCTGAATGCAATGCTCAGCCAGCAAAGGGTAGGATATCTATCCCCTCCAGATTTTCTTTAAATTCCAGATAGCATAATCAAAGTTCAAGGCTTATAGGATTGTTGGTCCAAGATATTTGGAGGACAACAGGTGGCCCATCTCTGGGTTCAATGCAGCCTGACATTTGCTGAATTGGAGCCCGGCTAGAGGCTCACTTGGAGCAGATGGAGAAGGATGATAAAACAGCAAGTGGGTGGTACTATATTGATTCCAAATGCAAATGAAGACGGTTTTGTATCACAGTCTCACAGCATTGATTTAGAAGATCACCATTGAAGGATGAACTTTAGTTCACTTACATCTCTCTGGATTAAGGCAGAAATACTCTGCACAAATAAAGAACAAAAAACACCCCAAACAAAAAACAGACCTCTTTGCCCTCACATCCTAGCTTCCCATGGGCAGATGTGAAGGGTTTGGCACATATATACTTAACACACTCAATGATTCACCTCGCTATCTGTTGCAAACTGTCATCAAGGTCCTATCACAGAGATATACTCAAAGGACATTAACTCTCATAGAGGGTGGGCAATTTTCAGGGAAATTATGAAAAACCAGTCTAATAAAAAAATCCTCTCTCAGTCGAACACATCTTACAGGTGTTTTATTGCGGGGATAAAATTAGAGCAGCTCTCAATTTATGGCACCTAGGCTGTTAGAGCTCAAACAGGCTGAACATGCAATGAATAAATGATAATAATCCAATCTAGGGCTACACACCAGCCAATGAGTCTTTAGAAGAGCATGTAAGGCTGAAATGGGATGGCTTGGTTTATTGCTACTTACCAGCAGTCAGACATTTGCATGCTGGTGGTAATGAAGGAAGTATCAGAGTCCCCAAAGCTTACCGACTGGTTCTCTATGAATCTAATTCTCCATTAAAATCATCTGAATTGGGGGTCATCACCATCTCTGATAGTAGAAAATTAATTATTCAATACAGTTTTTATCGGATATAGATTCCCCTTGATTGAATTTTAGTGGATAACCTGAGCTCTAGGTAAAGGAGGAATAAAAATATCTACATATCCCACACCATGCACCCCAGAGACAGCACATATCTCTGGTGTTTCTATCCATTTGACTTCAGCATAAGAAGTCAAAACCTCAACTGCTGTGGTCCTTACTCATGGGGAAGTCCCTGCTGCCTATTATCTTTTCTGTATCTTTTCTTTACACCATATATAATAGATTGCTTTACAGCTGCAGAAAAAGATAGGAAAGCCATTTTTAATGAACATTTACCAAAATTTGAAAATAACTGAAAGGCCCAGTTTATCTTTAGCTTCTACCAGTTCAAAAAACAGTGTTATATTGGATAGTACGTGCTAAGCACCATCACATAAAAATACAATTACCTAACTTCTTTTCAATCTTTTGCTTTTTCTGCTTCTGTTCATTTTTAATCTCATCCTCCAAACTATGGGAGATATGAAGGGGTCTCTTGTGGTCTCCAGATTTGAAGGAATGCTGGGCTTCAGTCCTTAACTCTACATTGCTTGGGGGTTGATCAACCTGTGATGCAGAACATTAAAAAATGTTATAAACATATGGATGCATTTCATTCTTTACTAAGACATACCATGTATGTTTTCTCCCCTCCTAAAGCCAGCACCTTTATCTGGACCAGTTCTTCCTCTACCAGTTGTTTGAGTTGCTCCTTCTCCTGTTTGGATAGATTCTCTAGCCCGACATCGTCAAGATACTTCTTCCGAATGATAGCATGAGTGAGGATACTGCAACAGACCATGAGTTATAACGTCAAACAGCATCTGCTAAGCAACCACAAAATATGCCTTTATATGGTATGTATGAAGAAGAGCAAGGATGGGGAATCTGTGATACTCCAGAAATTCCTTTTTCAAGCTGCCTTATAATATTGGATGGGGGAGAAGAGTTCAGAATATCCATAGGCCACAAGCTGGGGCTCACCCATATTTCTATCTATAACATATCCACCCAAATACATATCTACAGGCCACAATATGGGCCCCAACTGAATTTGTCATCCAAGTCCAGGATTTTTTTAAACCATAATCTCCTACATCTGCTCTCCTATTTAAGCTTCTCTTTCAGAGATGTAATTTTTCAATTCTCCCTTTGTAAATTATTTAGGAAATACATGGTGATGTACGATTCTGGAACCAATGTTGACATCCAGGGATCACAATTTCCACCCAGAAGGCTATGCTCAGTCAACATCTTCCAATATAAGCCCCTTTTCTACCAGCATGCTGGTTTTTAATTGTTATGCCAAGGTGATACTCATCTTCATCACTAGTTATAAATAGATAAATAAATAAATATAAATAAATAAAACAACAAAACAACAAAAACAGTTGCCAAAAGATTATTATTTTTATTTATTTAGTAACTTAGAACTGCAAAAAAAAAATTACTACCAACCTGCCTTCCATTGAGGACCTGTACACTGCACGAGTCAAAAAGAGGGCTTTGAAAATATCTACAGATCCTGGACATAAATTGTTTCAACTCCTACTCTCAAAACAACACTATGGAGCCCTGCACACCAAGACAACTAGACACAAGAACAGTTTTTCCCCCAACGCCTTCACTCTGCTAAACAAATAATTCCCTCACCACTGTCAAACCATTCACTAAGCCAGCATTACTATTACTATTAGTCTCCTCATCGTTCCTATCACGCATCCCCTCCCACTTATGACTGCAGGACTGTAACTTTGTTGCTTGTACCCTATGACTATCATTAAGTGTTGTACCTTAGGATTCTTGATAAATGTATCTTGCCTTTTTATGTACAGGGAGAGCATATGGAACAAAGGTGACTAGCCTACAAAAAAAAAGGCACCCAGTCGGCTTTCATGCCTAAGGCAGGATTTGAACTCGGTGTCTCCTGCTTTCAAGCCTGGTCCCTTCATTACTACACACACACACACACAAACAAACATTGGCTTTAGGGTGATAGGGTCGAGAGCTGAAATATCGCCCCCGAGCTCCAAACACTACCGTATTTCTGCTTCTCCTAGTCGGCATCCTCCAGCCATACGGGACGCTACATCACCCAATGATGGGATTGCGGGCAAGTCTGCAGGTGCAAACGGTTCTGGAGGTTTTATGTACTGCACAGTAATCATCGCTCTCGGCTAAGGAGGCTTCAGTTCCTTCACTCCCTCCCTCCCTAAGGAGAACCCGGAGCCTGAGCCGCACCTGAGATCGGGGCTTCCCTGGAAAAGCCTGGAGACAAAATCCCGCATCTTTTGCTGCTGCAGCTGCCCATCAGCGCCTGCCATCCTTTCCCGCCAAACGGTACCTCCCCGCCAACGTAGCTCCTCCCTCCGCAACGTCTCATAGTAATGGTAAGCCCAACGGTGCTTATAAAGGCAAACGGAACGCGCATGTGCGAGCTCTTTACCGCACGGCCTCATGGGAGATCATCTGCGAGCCAATGTGGGCGGAGGGCCTGCCCTGCAGGTTTCTTGGGAAATGTAGTTTTTTCCCCGCTCTGGAGCAAGGCCGCAGCGGTCTCCTTCCCGCCTTAAAATAATCTGGGTCCCTGCTGAGTTTTTCTGAGACTCGCCCCCTTGGTACAAATAAAAATTGAAGTTAAAGGAAGAGGTTATTGGCTGAACTTTTATTTATTTGTGTGGTTTTGAAAGGACCCCTGAAGGATTAGAGCATACACAGAATGTAACCTAATTCAGATTTTGTTAAACTGCTAGATAAAAACTTCTACGCAAATTGCCAAGTTTAGCCTAAAGTAACAAGTGGGTTTTGTAAAATAACGGCTTGCAACTTGAAATGTGTATTCAGCACTTCCTAACAAATCTCTGTTTTATATGCCAGAAAATGTTATTTCTTTCCTCTTCTAAACTCTTATTGTTTTCAGTGTGCTGAGAACAATCATGGGGTTTGTGTAACATAAAATAATGTTTCTAACACTATGACGATCTGTACAAGCTGTGCAAAGACTATAAGAAGTTTGACAAAAAGATTTTTTCATGACTGGACGGGGAGGCTTGCACCAGTTTTTTCTCTCTCTCTATGCCTGCTCTGTAAATGTGGGAGACAAAAATGCCCTCAAGTCTTTTTGCTTTCTGCAGAAAATAAAAACTGATTATCAATAGCTTCGTGTTCAGAGTTTCAGATTTTGGAATTATCAGATTCTGAGCTGAATCAAAAAACCTTGCATATTGATAAACCTCAGTAGACGTTTATGCACATTGATGCATAGATGCACCAACATGCCTACCATTCCTGTCCTACTATCCCCACTTATTCATATCCATTTCCTGTATTCAGAGTCATGTTTATACTGTTAAGATTCAAGAATATGTTTAAGAACCATAAAAATTTGAGAATACAACCAAGTCACAATGAGCCAAACATGAGACTTAAATGAAGGCTTGAATAACAATCCACGTTTAATCTTTGATCAAAATTTAAAGACATGTTGGTCAGTTGTTCCCAATATACCCCAAGTACATGCAGGGAGGAACTGCACTTCAGAGAATGTGTAGCTCCTTTTTATACTGTTAGAAATGTTATAAGCTGGCCTCTTTGATTTGTTTATTCTCTATCCTCTGCACAGTATCTTAATTATCCCTTTCAGCTATCTCCTTATCTCTCTCAATTGATCACTTAGCTTCTCAGGGAGATCAAAAGATGTCATCTTTACAGCTCCTTTCCGGGATAGTTCTATGCCCATAGATTGGAGGAGATTGACAAGAGTTCAAATGGCAAGGATCACACATTTTGACATTTGCCAAATATTTTACAGACCCTAATGCCACAGGAAGTCAGTTGCAGGAAACAAAAGGCACTTACAACATACAAGCATATACGTTACAAATACAAAGCATAATATATGTGTGTTACAGAAAACAAATGTTTCTACTAAAACCAACAAGTTTGCATATTTTTTTACTATTTCCCTTCAATACTTATATATTATTTTATACATGCTTGGCAAAATAAAATAAATAAATCTGTAATCCAAGTAGAACAAGTTGAATTCCCCACCTCCCAATATGATTGTGGGGATCAAATTCTTGCATTAACCTTACCTGGAGAATAGATTCCAAAGGAAAATGAAGAATGCCTGTTTTTCTTGACCTCTCAGCAACCTATGATACTGTCTGGAGAGAAGGACTGCCTCACTTTGGTCGAAATTGAACAGAATTAGGTGTGACATTGTCTTGGAAGACATGTCTATCTGGATTCAGTTCCAAGTGGGGAGAAAGACACTGGAAAGATGGTTTAATGGTGGACAGGGCCCGTGGTTTGAGGTCCTGAGCAATAGAGTACATGGGAGAATGTATGTATGTATGTATGTATGTATGTATGTATGTATGTATGTATGTATGTATGTATATGTACACACACACACACACACACACACCCTCTCTTGGGCTTTGAACTTGCTTCCTGTTCATGGATAAGAAATGTATTCTGACTGATTGTCAGACTCTTTTGTCTGTTGTCTTGAGTCCCAGACTTGGTTGAATCTTGCTGGGTGATGTAATGAAGGGGATTTTGGCAATTCCTATTATGGCTTAATGGCTTTGTTCTGGTTTGGATCTTGAGTGAAGGTTAATCCTATCACCCTGGAGCTGAAGGTCTTTTTTCTTCTAAATAAGTTGGCACCAAAATGTCTGCTGGGGCTGAGCTTCTGTATCCCTTAAGATTTCTATTTCTCTTTTAATGGGAAATATTATACCTTTTAATATTCCCTAGAATATTTCATTTTTCTAGGAGAAGGGTGGGTGCTAACTTTCTACAACTGGAAGAAATGCCTCTGCCCTATATCAGTGGGGAATGGAAAGATTCCTCTTGTTGTGATTGTGTTGCTGCTATGCAAACTATTAAATATATCATGCATATATGTCCATGACATGCATTCTAGTTTAGAAGATCTACATAAAGCAATGTCAGAAGTGATCGCCTGGATAGCTGAGTTGGATATCTAATTATGAGGCCACTGCCAAACCCCTGTAGAAGTTTTACTTATCTGAACTGTGTATATATGTTTACTTCCTTTTTATCATGTTCTCATCTTCATCATCTCATCTCATTAAATGTATCATCATTTCATCGAATGTATCTTGCCTTTTTATGTACACTGAGAGCATATGCAGCAAAGACAAATTCCTTGTGTGTTCCATCACACTTGGTCAATAAAGAATTCTATTCTATTCTATTCTATTCTATTCTATTCTATTCTATTCTATTCTATTTTACACTAAACATTAATTACTTGATAGTTGCTACCTGATTTAAAATAAGGTGATTTATTACTGAATTATCATTGTGTTCGTATTTTACTGTGCCTGCTCGGTTTGATTTGGCTAAGCTGCAAAAATGTAAAACAAATGTATGGTCACATAGCAAATAAGGTGGACGTAAATTCCTTTGAGTTGGGACCAATAGCACAACTGTTGTGGCTAATCTTCCCGGCCTGGGGGCAAAAGTGAACTTGATGAGAGAAATGTTCTGTAGCTTTCTTCTAGGCTGACTTTGTGTTACATTGATTATATCTCCAAATTTCCATTATATGAATGCATGATTGGTAAATAACATTCCTCAAGGTGCCCAAAGATTACAATAAATTTACTGAAACCAACAAGTGAAGGAAAAAGATGGGGCAAAAGAGTGCAGTCAGTGCAATTATACATAACCAAAGCAAGGTAGGAAACAGATTTTAGCAGATTTAACTCGGTTCTGCTACTATTTCTTAGCAAACGGGGGTAGGATAGAAAATAAAGCAGGAACCCTGGACATTAAGAACAATTCCACCACGACTCCTTAATTCTTTTTCCTCCATCACAATGCATGCTGGGAGATGTAGTTCTGAGCTCTCCACGTGCCCGCTTTCCAAAGCATGCCGGGAAATGTAGTTCTTCCACTCCTGCTTTGAATCGCGGTTCCTGTTCCACGTTACTTCCCCAGCTGGGCATGAACGGAGCAGGAGAGCCGGATCCGGGCGGTGGGGGCTACAAAAGGCGTTATAGAGCCTTAAAAAGGAGGCTCAAATTCCTAATTTATGTAAGCGGCCGGGAATTTCGGGGGGGGGGGAGGAAGGGAATTGGTGCTGGCAGAACGAAAGGGAGTGGGTTGGAGGAGCAAATGTTTTAGGAAAACCTGGGCATGGGGGTGGGGGGTGAGAATAATAAGGGGAGTTTTACCAGAAAGAATAAATGATGAAAATCATATTGACCGCATGCTTCCCAGACATTTAAAGAGATTCTGGCATTTGGGGAGGAAAGGCAACACTTGTGGATATTGAGTAAATTTAGGGGCCATGACAGGTGAGACGAGGATCAGAGACAAAAGACCTTCCACGTGAATGTTGTAAAAGGATTATTACAGAGAGGGTTATAAAGCGGTATATAAGTCTAAGCACTATTGCTATTATTTTGCCCATGGGTCCATAAAAAGGCATATACATGTTTAACTATGAATATATATAATTTGGTGTTCCCAACCTTGAAAACTGAATGAGGTGTGGATTTCAATTCCCAGAAGTCCCCAGACTTGCTAAGGTTAAAAAACCCTGCTCCAGAAGCTCTGGTTCGAACTGACCTAGGTTGTTTTGTTGGGAGCAGCTGAGAAATAATTTGTCCTTGCTTTATTCTGGGATGTGTTTTGGAACTGTCTGTCTCCAGACAGCCTTAGTGGTCATCCACTCAGCAATTAGTCAGATCCAACTAACTTTAGTTTTTACAGGTCAGCGTGTAACATACACATCTACAATTTGTGACTGACTACTTTGCTGACCAGCTTGGTAAACTATTACTGTTTGCTGAAGCGTCACATGTTAGATGAACCCAGCAATTGTATTTGATTCACATCTTAAAAGTTCCTAAAGTTGAGAAACGCTGAGCTAACAGGCTACAGAATTTGAGGAGACTGCAAGAAAGCGGGTTAGTCCCACAGGGTGCCTATTTGGGCCCTAGACCCTGCTTTCCAAACTACAATGACTGGATTCACATAATATAATAAGACAACCCTAAGCAAACAATTTAGTGCCAGAAGAGCCCTGTCTGTCAAATTCACAGTATAAAAGGGATAATACTAATCTGCCTTGGTGGTTGCTGGGATTACCTGCCCCCCCCCCCCCAGACTCCAAAGATTCAGGGAGAATTTAATATATCTCCATTTAATACATACAGTAGTACCACACTAAACTATTTTCTTAAAGCAGCAATTCTGCTTATAGGGAAATAATTCACAAAACAATACAGTACTGTGGAAAGGTAACACGAATAATCATATTACATTGATGATGCAGACAGTCCTCAATTTATGAGTGGTTGCTTAGTGACAGTTTGAAGTTATGACAGGCTCTTTCAGACACTTTCCAAAGCTAACTAGAAAGTGATTCAGGTTGGTTTGGAGTTGTCACATGAGAGCATATTGGGCAGTCGGCAGTTGGCCCACATTTATGGCCATATGCATAAAACCTATGGTTTTATGACCCTATTTTATTATAGTTTTGTCTGAATCGACATTTACTTCCAGTTTTTGGCAAAAAGTGGTCCATAACAAACAATGGATTCGCTTAACGACTGCTGCAAAAAAAGTTACAAAAACAGGCTGGTCACGTGGGTGAACTGCACTATGACTCACAATCATAATGGGCAGGCTCCATTATGGTCATAAGTGGAAGACTGCCAGTAATGAACTAGGGAGCCAGCTGAAGCAGGAATACAAAATCTGACCAAGAACTGAAACGTAAACAATTAGCAATTGGCTGCTACTTGATGGCTCCGAAAAGCTGCAAAATTTTTGCTGTGTCTATTTGCATTATTTTTATGGAGGGGAAGGATCAACCCTCCCAAAGAGGAAGAATGAACCACGGGTGGCAACTGGAATGTTGCCCAGCATTAACTTAATCTTTCCAGATCCTAGAGACTCTGTGTATGTGGACAAGTGAAATAGAACATATATTGGAATGCTGATTGTATAGGTAGCCCTCAACTTACTACAGTTCATTTAGTGACTGTTTAAAGTTACAATAGCACAGGAAAAAAGGGACGTATGACTGTTGTTCACACTTACAACCTTTGTACTATCCCTGTGATCACGTAATAAAAATTCAGATGCTTGGCAACTGGTTCGGACTTGTGACTGTTCCTGTGTCCAAAGAGATCATGGAATCCCCGTATGTGACCTTCTGATAAGCAAAGTCAACGGGGAAGCCAGTTTCACTAATAACCATGTTACTAACTGATCAACTGCAGTGATTCACTTAACCACGGTGGCAAGAAAGGCCGTAAAATGGGGTGAAAGTCAGTTAACAACAGAAATTTTGGGCTCAGTTGTGGTTGTAAGTCAAGGACTACCTGTATGCTAATCATATATTGATCCCCATTACTTGATATAAGGGTATGTTGGAAGTAAATTGAATTTTCTCCTATAAGCTACTATCCATTTTATGACCCAGTGAGTTGCTACTTTTACAGTTAAGGCAGCAAGTTAAAATTTAATGCATGCATCGTGTTCAGATTTTAATAATGTCTCATTTTGAAATACCTACAAGTTTGAAAAGATTACAGATAGCCCTTGACTGACAACCACAACTGAGTCCAAAATTTCTGTTCCTAACACAGTTGTTAAATGTCTTTTTTCGTCCTTCCTTGGTGCAGTTGTTAAGAGCCAAGGTGGCGCAGTGGTTAAATGCAGCACTGCAGGCTGACTGCTAGATCAGCAGTTCAGCGGTTCAAATCTCACCGGCTCAGGGTTGACTCAGCCTTCCATCCTTCCGAGGTGGGTAAAATGAGGACCCGGATTGTTGTTGGGGGCAATATGCTGACTCTGTAAACCGCTTAGAGAGGGCTGAAAGCCCTATGAAGCGGTATATAAGTCTACTGTTATTGCTATTATTATTATTATTGAATCTACGCAGTTACATTAGTAACAAGGCTGCTAAGTGAACCTGGCTTCCCCATTGACTATGCTTGTCAGAAAGTCACAAAAGATGATCACACAACCCCAGGACGCTGCAATCGTCATAAATGTGAGCCGGTTGTCAAGTGTTTGAATTTTGATCACGTGATCATGGGGAGGCTGCAATAGTTGTCAATGTGAAACACAGTCATCGGTCACTTTTTTCAGTGCCATTTTAACTTTGAATAGTCACCAAACAAATGATTGAAAGTTGAGGACTACCAGTAGTAGATTCTGCCTGACATGAATAATTATGTTGTGCTTCTATTTCCTAGGCGTCTAATGTGTTAAAAGTCCCTACTCTATTTTCTTTAAAACCATTTTAAAGTGTTCTGTTACAAAGATTCAGAGATTTTAATGGTATTGTTTAGATTTTAGATTTAAAATTTAATGCATGCATCGTGTTCAGATTTTAATAATTCGAGTTTCGAGTTTATTGACATTTGTATGCCACCCACTCCCTTGGGACTCTGGGCGGCTCACAACAAGACAAAAAACATATAAAAATTAAAATAAGAATACAATTATTAAAATTTCACACCATACATACTGTTAGCGTGGGGCTGGATACTAATCAACAGGCCCAGGCCTGCCGGAACAGCCAGGTCTTGGTAGCTTTACGGAAGGCCGGAAGAGTAGTAAGGGTCCGGATCTCTACAGGAAGATCGTTCCATAGGGCCGGCGCAGCCACAGAGAAGGCCCTCCCCCGGGGAGCCGCCAACCGACATTGACCGGCGGATGGCACCCGGAGGAGGCCCAGTCTGTGTGATCTTATTGGTCTTTGGGAGGTAAATGGCAGGAGGCGGTCTCTCAGGTAATGTCTCATTTTGAAATACCTACATGTTGTTATTACTCTCAGAGTACTTAAAATGGTCTGGAGAGTTATTTAATAAACTATTCCCTTACTTACACATAGCCTTTTAAAATAAATTCTCAGGAGCAAGAATGTTTCCAAGAAGAACTGAGAAAAGCACAAAGAAAACTCCTGAAAGTTTCACGGGATAAAAGGTAAGCTGATCCGATGAAGGAGGATAGGGGGTTTGTGAAATGAGGCAAACCAAATTGCCAAGAGTTCCCTCTGAATCAGAATACGAAGGCAGAAAGATAGAATTACCGTAGTACCGTTTCCCACTTGAGACTGGAATCCTCAATGGCTGGGTGGCAGGCAGAAGTCTAACTGGTCATTTTATTTATTTATTTTGAATGTTTGCCTTTAAAAATGGCAATTTAATCATTTGAGTTAGAGGTATAAATAGCTGGGGCAGTACAGGTTGTCCTTGGCAACTTCAAGACCTGTGGACTTCTGCTGCCAGCAACAAGTCTTAAAGTTGCCAAGATTAGACACCCCTGGCGTAGTAGTTAAAACCTCCAGACTAGAAACAGGGGGGGCTGGGAGTAATAGTCCAGCTTTAGGGCGCAAAGTTAGCTGGGTGGCCTTGGGCCAGTCACTCAGATGGCAGTGGCAAACCACTTTCTGAAAGAGGTTGCCATGAAGTGGTCCAGGTAGCCACCAGGAGTCAAAACAGGCTTAAAGACACTAAAAACGAAGCAACAACATCTCAGTTGAAGGGACAACATCTCTTTGAGATAGATGCAGCCACCCAGTCTGGGATTGGAAACAAAGTAAGATCAAACATTAATATTTGCAATGGAGACTGTAAGATCTTAGTAGCAAGCAGTGGGCCAGATTGGTCCATTACACTATTACTGGATAGAGGTCAACAGCTTCCTCTGTTGAGAAGTCAGTGGCTCTCAGCCTGTTGCAATGCCTGGATGGGGGTAAAAGTGGATTTGAATCTTGGATCTGCCATATAGAGCAGGGGTCCCCAATCCCTGAGCTGCTGATCAGCACTGGGATACCAGAAACTGGGCCATGCAAACAAGTTAAGCCCTATTTATGTGCAGGCAGCATGTGAAAATACTTCCTTGCCGGTCCTCGGAAAACCTCTCAGAACCGGTCCCTGGTGCCCCAAAGGTTAGGGGGCGCTGATATAGACAGTATAACTTGAAATTTACAGATTACAGCTGCTGGTTTTCTTCACATTTTTTTGGTCAATTTTATTTTATTTTATATTGTTATACGTATCAATGCATGGATGGTGTGATACCCGAGTATCATACATTTCAATAAAAATAGACATAGTATTATTACTCATAGTTATAATATTTCCTTTTCATTATTTCATATTATTTACCCATATATTTTACTACTGCCCTTCAGTTCTAAACCTTCTTCTTACTCTTTCAGATATCTTAATAAATTGGTATATGCTATATTTCCCTTCTTATTTCTATCTCTATTTAAATTCCTCCCCCTCCTATCACTATTATATTCAAAGACGTGATAATAACATTTCTTTTCTGTTTCCCATCTTCCATCTGTTTTGTTATTCATGTTTCCATTATTTAGTTCTTCACATCTGTTTTTATTGAAGTTCCATCCTTTCTTTCATTCACTATATTTCCTCACATTAATGACTTTGTTATTGCAGGTACCGTATTTTTCTGAGTAGAAGACGCACATTTTTCCCCTCAAAAAAGAGGGGAAAATCTGGGTGCGTCTTATACAAATGCTGTATTTTTTTTTGCCTCTCGAAACCCACCCCCTTTGCAAAAATGGCCGTGTATAGCCTTTAGGAGGCTTTCAAAGCGCTCCTGGAGGCTGGGGAGGGCCAAAACGACAGAAAAATGGGCTGGTTTTTTGCTTGTTTCCCCCCTCCAGCCCCCAGGAACACTCTATAAGCCTCCTAAAGGCTATGCATGCCCTTTTTAAAAAAAATAAAAAAACAGGCCCATTTTCGCAAAAAATGGCCCGTTTTTGGGAGGTCTGCAGGGTGCAAATTTTTACAAAAATTTGCCTCTTCAAAATCTTGGTCTTATATTCTGAAAAATATGGTAATCCTCGACATAAACATTTGTTTAACCACCGTCAAAGTTATAATAGCCCTGAAAAGGTGATTGACAGCTGGCCTTGGCACTTATGAGTAATATAGCATTCCTACGGTTGCATTATCAAAATGAAGTTGTTTGGCAACGGGCAGGTATTTATGATGGTTGGAGCATCTCTGGGTCACGTGACCATCATTTGTGACTTTCCCCAGTCTGCTTCTGAGCAGCCAAGTCAGTGGAAGAAGTGGTTTCACTTAAACCCCATTCATTTCACCGTGGCACGACAAAACCGCGCTCGACTAAAGCGCGCCCGATTAAANTGAGATGCGTTACGGTGTTTGCAATACTACTTTTACCAGGTTTTTCAAATTTGGCAAGTTTGTCCTCCTGGCTGGGGAATTTTGGGAGTTGAAGTCCACACAATTTTTGCCACCTCAGGAATTCTGGGAATTGAAGTCCATACAACTTAAGTTGAAAAACACTGTTTTGCACTAAAGGGATGTCATTTAGCTCTGCTATAGCCTAGTATACTTAGAGCATAGTTGTCATATGATGTCCAGTTAGGGCCCATGTGGTTCCTTTACTTTTTTAGAAAGAGTCTGTGCTACTTTTCTTAGAAACATTTTCCAAACTCCTTACTGTGTCTCAAATGCAGTTCTTCCACTGTAGGCGAGCCTGAGTTAGATCAAGACCAATATTTGGTTGTATTTCTACGCACTGGGCCAAAATATGATTTGCCCATATATAGAGGTTAGTAATAATTTTGTTTCATCCTGGCCCAAAGGAGTAGATTAAAAAAAATGGAGCTCCTTGGAGTTTCTTTAACTCTCTGCACTTGGATCAAAATGTGGGCAACAAAGGCTTTCATGGATTTATGATGTTACTATTCGGTTAGGCCTGGATCTATTCAAAGGATCTATTTTGGATTAGCTCCTTCACCTTCCTTAACCAAATTAGAATCCTTAATTGTAGAAGGGCATTTAATTTCCCTAGTACAATTGAAAGTCCATCCTAAGTGTTTTTAGGTGAATAGAAGGGCATCTCTTTTAAAGTTTACCCACGCACAAAAGGAGTCTTTGAAGCCATGAAATATGTCCTCTTATATTCCCTATTTTATGCTGGTACACCTTCAGGTTGATAACCCCACATCTCAGTAATTTTCCCGGTCATTCTGACTGGTTATATTTATGTTTTTTTTAAATTATCAAATCCATGGAATTCTGTTAAGTGTGACTGATATGTCCAGTTAATTTTATGATCTGCGTTGACCCCTATTCATATAACCTGTTTTTACATTGCTAAGTTTTTTTATGTATTGGTCATTGAGATCGAGTCACTTCATCATCTTGGCTAGGGATCTGGAAAACCTTGGTGGCCCATGTAGTATAAATCAGATACAAACATGTAGAGAATGAGTGTCTGATCAAGATGCTGGTGTTAATCTGTCTTGCGGGATATATTTGTAGACATATAACTTCTCAGAAAAAAAAGATGACTCTGGAGAACTATTTCCACAAGTGTTTAAAAAGAGGGCACCAAAGAATCCAAGCATTTGGGAAGGTTTCCACACTGTTGAGGGAAAAAAAAAACAATTAAGGAACCAGACTTGAGGTTTGTTTAGCATTTATTCTATTTATTTTATTTTATTTTATTTTTTATTTTATTTTTTATATTATTATATTATTATTTTTTTATTTTATTTTTTTATTTTTTTTATTTTATTATTTTATTTTATTATTTTATTATTTTATTNCTTTAGTCGAACGCGGTTTTGTGGTGGAACCTCATTTCACAGATCCCATGATTTGCTTAACAATTGTGGTAAAAGCATCGTAAAACCAGGCATGAATCATTTAACAGCCGCCTTGTTTGCAATGGAACTTCTGGCCCCAGTTTTGGTTGTAAGTTGAGGACTACCTGCATCTGTCAACAACCTCTCTTTATCAAGAGCTACGAATCTCAGCCTATGAGCCATTAGAAGTACCGTATTTTTCAGAGTATAAGACGCACCCTTTCCCTCAAAAAAGAGGCTGAAAATCTGGGTGTGTCTTATACACTGAATATAGCATTTTTTGCCTCCCAAAACTCCGCCCTCTTCACCAAAATGGCCATGCAAAGGCTTTAAGAGGCTTCCAGAGTGCTCCTGGAGGCTGAGGAGGGCAGAAATGAAAGGAAAATGGGCCATTTTTTGCTCGTTTTTGCCCCCTCCCCCAGCTCCCAGGAGCACTTTACAAACCCCCTAAAGGCTATGCATGCCTTTAAAAAAAAAGGCTGTTTTCATTAAAAATGGGCTGTTTTTGGGAGATCTGCAGAGTGCAAAAATGTTTTTTTTTAATTTGCGTTTTCAAAATCTTTGTGCGTCTTATATTCCCAAAAATATGGTAGTCCTCGATTTACCACTACAACTGAGCCCAACATTTCTGTTGTTAAGCAAGACACTTGTTTAGTGAGTTTTACTCTATTTTACGACCTTTCTTGCCTCAGTTGTTAAGTGAATCGGCACAGTTAATAAGTAGTCACCTGGATGTTAAGTGAATCTGGCTTCCCCATTGGCTTTGCTTGTCAGAAGGTCGCAAAAGGTGTCATGTGACCCCGGGATGCTGCCACGGTCATAGATATAAAGCCGTTGCCAAGCATCTGAATGTGACCATGGGGATGATGCAATGGTCATAAGTACGAAAAATGGTCCTAAGTCTCATTTTTCAGTGCCACTTTGAATGGTCACTAAACAAATTGTTGTAAGTTGAGGACTATCTTTATGTGCAAAAATCATTCTCTTGCCAAGAAATAATTGTAGATCAATTCTGGATACCTGCCTTGGAATAGAGGACGGCCCAGGAAAACGGCAAATCTTTGGACCCAGCTTAAGGCCTCGGCCTCTTCCTAACTATTAAGCATCAGGCCTGAGTCACTGCTTTTTCCTACCTGTTTCCTCTTTCTAGTTTCCTGCTTGATCGCCTGCTCCAGTATGAGAATGTGGATGAAGACTCCTCAGGTAAAGTGAGGCTCACAACCTCCATTTGATGGTGCTGAAAGAAAGAGGAGGATTTTCCCCTCTTTTTTTTAAATAAAGGGACTTAATAATATTAATTTGGCTGCTGTGAATATAACATCAACTATTCAGGCCGGAAGAAAATGAAACAATGACATGGCAAGTTAAAGGATTTCACATCAAATTTATAAATCTTAACCGAATCTGACATCCTTATAATCATTCGTAGTTTATCTTTTAAAGATAATAGTGACCCATATTCCAGAAAAGGTACAGAGGTACCTTTTATTGGCTGTTAAATATTATGGAATTAGACCAGAGCAAATCCACGGTGGTAGATTTTCTGATTCTGACTGCCGATGGCATTGGTTAATTGTTAGATATTGCAGAAAACACCCTTGAATATAGATAGACTTCTGCTTACAACAACAATTAAGCCCAAAATTTCTTTTGCTAAGTGAGCTTTGGCCTATTTTATGACTTCCTTGATGCAGTTATTTAGTGAATCATTGCAGTGTTTGAGTTAGTAACAAGATTGTTAAGTGAATCTGGCTTCCACATTGACTCTGCTTGTCAAAAGGTCCCAAAAAGGTGATCATGTGATTCCAGGACACTGCAACCGTCATAAATTTGAATCAGTTGCCAAGCATCCAAATTTCAATTCAATGGTCATAAGTGCAAAAAGCGGCCATGTCTCTTTTTCCAGTGTCGTCCTAACTTTGAGCAGTCACTAAATGAACTGTTGTAAGTTGAGGATTACCTGTGTAGCTATGATGCCTGCTTGTCATTTAAAAATTGTCTCAAGGTGGGCTAGAATCATTGGTCCAACAAGCATCGTGTTTCTAAAAATTGTGTACAGACAGTCCTCACTTAACACCAATTGTGATAAAAAAAAACCCGGTCATTAAGTGACATAGCTGTAACTAAAAAACCCCACATGACTGTGCTGCTTAGTGATGGCAGTTTTAACAGTCCTGATTGCTGTCATTAAGTGAGGACCGTAGAGGTCAGTGATGGCGAACCTTTTTTGGCTCGCATGCCAAAAGCGGGGGGGGAGTGTAGGGGGGGTCGTGCGCAGGCATGCCACACCCATCATGCTATGCACACGACCCCAGCACACATGCGCGCACGACCAGCGCTACCCAACGTTTTTGGCATGCTTTTTTCGCCTTCCCCAGGTAAGGGCGAAAACAGCTTCTCCCCTTGGAGGCCCCCGGAGGCTTCAAGAGCTTCCCTGAAGCCTCCGGAGCGTGAAAAACCGGCCCTATGGGCAAACCGGAACTTCAGGAACAAACTTCCGTTTTTCTCATAGCGTCAGTTTTAGTCCTCCGAAGCCTTCAGCGGCCTTCAGGAGACTTCCCTGAATGCTCCGGAGGGCTAAAACTGGCCCTACGAACAAAGCAGAAGTGACTTCCGGTTTGCTCGTAGGGTCGTTTTTTGCCCTCTGGAAGCTTCAGGGAAGCCTCCTGAAGCCTCCTGAACGCTCCGGGGAGTTAAAACTGGCCCTATGAGCAAACGGGAAGTATGTTCCTGAATTTCCGATTCCCCGTAGGGCCGTTTTTTTCTGTGAAAAATGGCCTCAAAAGAAGGCCGAAGGCTGAAGTCAGCTGGCCAGCGCGTGCATGCGCACTGGCCAACTGACAGGGCAATGCCCTGCATACCCTGAAAAATGGCTCCGCGTGCCATAGGTTCACCATCACACGCCTAGAAGAACCTTTCTTCTAGGGATTTCTTATCTCCTGCTGGCTCCCCCTTTGACTTTGATTGTGAGAAACTGGCAGGGGAGGTTGCAAATTATGTGATTGTGGATGCCGCAACATTGTAATTGTGAATTGGCTGCCAAATGTCTGGATATAAATATAAATGCGGACATGCAATGGTTGTAAATATGAGGACCAGTCGTAACTACTTCTTGTTGTGCTGTTAGATATTTCAAATTGTTGTTGAACAAGTCATCATTAAATGGGGACCACCTTCATAAGCAAGCATAGAAGTCGGTATCCGTGGTTGAGGTTTAATCCTGTTCCCTTCCCTAAAGTATGGACTACAACACCCCTAGCAACTTTAAGAGGAGTGGACTTCAGTTCTGGGAGTTCACTCCTCTTAAAATTGCTAAGATTGAGAAACCCTGGATCACGACTTCCAAAATTACTAGCCCTATTAATTAGGGAAAACTAAATTCTAGCCTAGGAGAGTAGGTTGAAGCTGCTATCATTCCTGCTTCATGCAGAAGGAAATTTATTTACCGTATGTACAGATACACGAACCATTATGAGCTACGGTGGCGCAATGGTTGGAGTGCAGTACTGCAGGCTACTTCTGCTGACTGCCAACAATTTGGCAGTTCAAATCTCACCAAGCTCAAGGTTGACTCAGCCTTCCATCCTTCCAAAGTCAGTAAAATGAGGACGCAAATTGTTGGGGTCAAAATGCTGACTCTGTAAACCGCTTAGTGGGGGCTGTAAAGCACTATAAAGCGGTATATAAGTCTAAGTGCTATTGCTATTTTTTTTTTCATTTTTCTGGCTTGTTTTCCCCTCCTTTGAGTTGGTGTGAATGATTCCCCCTTTTCCACTTCTTCTGCACATAGCATCTTTTTATATTGGTGCTTGTAAAAATTAAAATTTAATTGCTATATTCCTTGAGGATCCGGCTGCTGATTACTTGTTAATATTTGATTCCTCCAGGACATGTTATTCTTAAGCACTTTTATTTCTGTATTATATTTTATATTTGGCTGACATTGCCTTTTTATTTTAATATCCAATTGCCAGGGGAGTTTTTAGCTGCCCCGTGAAGCCTCCCTATTATACTAATTTTTCTACATTTTTCTTCCTGCTCAGTCCCATTGGTGATTTTGACTAGATTGGATAAATGACCCATGACATTCTTTATTTGAAAGCTGTCTCTGTAAAGATGAATGGCTAGAAATTGAATGTTGACGTTGTTTTGGAGACGTCTTCATTTTGTTGCAAATGGGTCTGTTGCCTAACTGATCACCTCAGTTAGGAGAGCAAGCTTGCTGGCAAAAACTGAGATGTAAATAAATTGGATGAGTGACTTGTTCCAAAACATACTCTGACTGTTCAGAATTATGCAAATTAGAAGTGTAGCTAAATGCAGATTTTGGTATCCGAGAATTTAGGCAGTGTTACGGTATACTTAGGATGGTGTATAACATAGTTTATAGAAGTGTTTGCTTCTCAGGATGTTTTGCAGAGCCAGCTGAGAAAAAGTGGATTTTTATGCAAAGGGACTATATTTAGTGTCTGAAAAGGGAATTAATACAGTGTAGTTGGTCCTCGACTTACAATCATTCATTTAGTAAACATTCAAAGTTACAACGGCACTGAAAAATGAGACTTACAACTAGTCCTCGCTCTTAAAACTGGCACAGCATTCCCTGTGGTCACCTGATCAAAATTTGGTTGTTTGCATCTTATATGTGTGCACCAATAGTTGCAGTGCCCTGGGGTCGTAGGATCACCATTTACAAGCTTCCCAGCCGGAGCAAGCAAAGTCAATAGCAAAAACTGGATTTGTTTAAAGACCACACAATTCATTTAATAATAGCAGTGATTCTCTTAATAACTGTGACAAAAGTCAAAGATAATATTGGGTGCAACTCATTTGCTTCACAATAGAGATTCTGGCGTCAGCTGTGGTCGTAAATCAAGGATTACCCATATTTTGATCTTGAATCCAGAAAACTGGAGAGCTTCTCTCTCAGTCATTGGATGAGATCACCTAACCAACATCATCAGGAAATGACGCAAATGCACAGGGTAGCATATAACTCTCTGGCAGAAGGAGGTGGAGGTGGAATGACTTTGTCTAATTTTATTTCTCTGGAATCAGATTCGGAAGCAACAGCCTCCTCAGACAACAGTGATGGAGAGATGCCGAAAGGGACGGAGCCTCAGTCCCTCAAGAGGTGAGTATGTGGTGGGCTTCAGGATAGAGAGAATACACAAAAATACAAACCAATAGATGGCTACAGGCTAACGGGGCTGTTCTCTATAGCAGCGAAAAGAGGTAGAATTCTTGGACATTTTCAGCGCACATCCACAATTATTCTAGTGGTGGGTGAAGGAGATGGTCTTGTGAGACCAGGCTAGGCTTACAGGCTAATTTCTAATGTTGGAATTTCCCCCTTACCAGAGGGCGCCCTCTTGTGGAGTACTGTGAAGCTGTTACCATGGCAACTCCATTGTGCTGTACAGTAGAAGCCATTTTATGGCAGTACAATAGAAGCCATTTTAAGGCATAATAGCTGTATCTTAACAGAGCATATACCCCGAGGGGTGTTAGGGGTATTTTACCCCCACAGTATTTTTTTCAAGAGAGTAAGTCATCTGTGTACCAAGTTTGGTTGAAATTGCTTGAGGAGTTCCAGAGTTATGCTGGAACATACACATGCACCCACCCATACCCATATATTATATTATATTATATTATATTATATTATATTATAGTATAGTATAGTATAGTATAGTATAGTATAGTATAGTATAGTATAGTATAGTATAGTATAGTATAGTATAGTATAGTATA